CACAAACCTACCCACCAAAACACCACTCGAAATGTCTTCCAGCCAACAAATCAACGCTACTTCCGCTCAGGTGCAGGCCACCAACGAGGGAGCCAGCATCCCTGTGGCTGCTACCATACCGGTCATTTCAGCCCCGGTGTTGCCTTTGGGTCTGAGCTCTGTCCCGACGGCCAGCGTGATCAGTCCCTTCGTAACCCCCGTCCCTTCCGCTGGACCGAGGGTAACGTTCCCACCAAGCATGACTAAGTTCATGAATGACCCAGCCAACCTACAAGCCATCCAGGGCTTTGGCCAGGTCATGGCCATGTGCCAGCAGAACGGGGGGATGCGTTTCCTCCCTGGTATGTTCCCATTCGCCCTTCCAGGCGCGGGGACCATGCCCTTACAAGCTCCGATGGCGGTGACGTCGTTCTAGACGCCGATGCCGCAACCATCACCTTTCCAGCCCCAGCTGGTCAGCACCATGGCTCCTGTCAACTTGGCCGGTGCACTTAACGCTGCAGGGCCGTCGCGTCCCCCGCAAGCTACGGATCCGCAGATCACTCCTGACGGACATTGCGTCTCGATTGAGAGCGATGACGACGAGTGGGACATCCCGAGGGCCCACAAGAAGAAGAAAGGAAAAAACATCCGGCCAGCGACCTCCCGAAACTCCGCCTTCGAAAGGCTGGGGGATAGGGAGGAAGGCCAGAGGAAGTCAGCCAAGCAGAGGCTGGGGCAAAGTGTTGCCCATGTCAGCGCATTCGCCCGGCTAGGCGAGGTGCGGGAGGCCGAGCCTGCCCGCACCCGGCGCTCCCGGTCTAACCGGCAGGAGCCAGCAAGGACAAGGGCCTCCCACCAGGAAGGGGAGGCAAAAAGCCAGCCCAGGTTACCGGTGGCGAACCGGTTAACCGTCCCAAACGACCGCGTCCAGCAGATGGAGGCAAAGCTGGAAAGGCTGGAAAAGAAGGTCGGGGAGAAGAATGACCGGGACAAACCCCTGGCAGGGTCCCCGTTCACCGCAAGGGTCCATCTGACACCTTTCCCGCGAAAGGTTAAGACTGATGCCCCCAGATTCACCGGGAAGGAAGATCCGGAAATCCATTTGGACTCCTTCAACCAGAGTGCGACCATGAATGGTTTCACCGATGAAGAAAAGTGCCTTCTTTTCTTCCAGACCTTGCGGAACCGAGCCACTGAATGGTTCAATAAGCTTCGCCCGGGAAGCATTGACTCGTTCAATGATTTGGCCTCAAAGTTCAAGGCCAAGTTCCAGGAGAATTGTACTAAGAGGAAGAAATTCACCTATCTTAGTACAGCCGGGCAGAGGGAGTCTGAGAACCTTACTCAGTTTCTTACCCGGTGGAAGGAAGAGGTGGAAAAGGTGGAAGACATGGATGACAAGACCGTCCTCTCCCTCCTCTTGAATGGCTTGCGTGCTGGGGAATTATACAAGGAGTTCTGCCGGAAGCCCCCAGCCACGTACCAAGAGGCCTACCACACCGCATGGGAGTTTGCTGAAGCTGAAACTCAGCTCCGGGCAAAGAGAGAGGCTGAGCATGGTCACAAGTCCAAGCCGGTGCAAGTCAAGAAGGAAGAAGCACCGGGACCTAACAGGCCGAGGCACCACTATGACCCGGTCATCCGAGTGGTCGATACGGAGGAATGCCAAGAAGTCCGGAAAGCACCGGTCATTCCCCCAGAAAACCCTACCGGTCAGGTAGGGCGGCAGTGGTCAGGCACCTATTGTTCGTACCACAGGTCAGATTCCCATAACACCTCCGAATGCAAAAGTGTTAAGGGAGTAATCCGGCAGATGATCGACAGTGGAGAGCTGGGCAAAGATTACTTGCAGAAAGCCCAAGAGAAGAGTCATCAATGGGTTAGGCCAACTGCCCAGGGAATGATCGGGACAACGACCGACGGAGGAATAACAGGCCAAGGGAGCGGCAACCTGCCCCCGAAAAGGAACACATCGGCATGATCTTCGGCGGACCCGAGGGTGGAGATTCAGCCGCGCAGCGGAAGAACTGGGTCCGGAGCATTTACGTTGGAGAGGTAAGTGCTGAACCGCCCAGGCGTAAGCGTACTAGGAGGGGGCCTATCGTCTTTACTGATCGGGATCTCCCTCCTACCGGTGAAGATCACAATGATCCATTGGTCATCACCATGGACATTAACGGGGTGGATGTCGCCCGGTTACTTGTTGACACCGGCAGCAGTGTCAACATCTTATACCTGGAGACCTTTCAAAAACTCAGGTTGTGTCGAACACAACTTGAACCCCTCAAAACCCCTCTCTCAGGCTTCACGGGGGACACCGTTGAAGCTGAAGGATCCATAGTTCTATCGGTCGAACTAGGATCAGGTGAAAAGACCGTGTGGAAGAAGATGCGGTTCATAGTTGTGGACATCAAATGCGTCCAAAATGCAATTCTTGGAAGGCCAGGCATCAATAGAGTTGGGGCGGTGATTTCCATGCCTCATCTATGCATGAAGTTCCACACTCCAGGTGGTGTGGGTGAGGTGAAGGGCGACCAGAGGAGCGCCCGGGAGTGCTATGCCCGGGCAGTCAAGAAGATGACCAAGGGGGTCAATGTCATCTCCCAAGAGATCACAAAGGGAGAGACCTGGGAGAAATTGGAGCCCGAGGCCGAGACGGTGGAAATCGAACTTCACCCGGGTGATTCTTCGAGGATGGTCAGAATTGGAGCAAATCTCCCCGAGGATCTCAAGGAGCAGATTACCCGGGTCCTCCAAGAATACGCGGGCATATTCGCATGGAGCGTGGCGGATATGCCGGGATAGATCGCTCTGTTATCTGCCACCGGTTGGCAGTGAGGGAAGGAAGTCGACCGGTACGCCAAAAGAAGCGGTACCTGGCCAGTGACCGGCGAGACTTCGTCAAGAAGGAAGTGAAAGACCTTCTCAGTGTTGGTCACATCCGGGAAGTCAAGTACCCGGATTGGCTGGCCAACGTTGTCCTCGCTCCCAAGGGAGACACGTGGAGAATGTGTGTGGATTATACGGACTTGAACAAGGCTTGTCCGATGGATTCATACCCCCTCCCCAGTCCAGATCAAATGGTGGACGAAACTGTGGGGTGCGAACTCCTAAGTTTCATGGATGCCTTCAAGGGTTACCACCAAATCTACATGGCCAAGGAGGATGAGGAAAAGACGTCATTCCTCACACCCGAAGGAACCTACTGCTATCGGGTAATGGCGTTTGGCTTGAAGAACTCGGGGGCAACCTACCAGCGCATGGTGAACAAGCTCTTCAAGCCACTACTGGGAAAGACCATGGAGGCATACGTCGACGACATGCTGATCAAAAGCCAGGTATCTCTGAACCACCCGGCTGATATGCGAGCCACGTTCGATATCATGGCAAGGTACAACCTCCGGCTGAATCCTAAGAAATGCGTCTTCGCGGTTCGTACCGGGAAGTTCTTGGGATTCATGGTGACCAAGAGAGG